TCATCCACAAACTTGCTGAGGGTGCACTCCATCCCATCTTCCAGATCACTAATGTAGACCATGAACAAGACTGGCCCCAAGACTGACCCCTGGGGCACTCTACTTGATACTGGCTGCCAACTAGACATTGAGCCACTGATTACTACCCTTTGAGGTGAACAATCCAGTCAATTTTCTGTCCACCTTACGGTCCATTCATCCAACCCAGACATCCTCAGCTTGCCTGTGAGAATGTTGTGGGAGACCATATCCAAAGCCTTGCTAAAGTTAAGGAATACCACATCCACTGCTCTCCCTGCATCCAGAGCCAGTCACCTCATCATACAAGGTAATCAGGTTGGTCAGGCACAACTTGCCCTTGGTGCATCCATGCTGACTGTTCCTGATCACCTTTTTCTCCCTTAGAAATGGATTCCTTAAGGAGCTGCTCCATGACTTTTCCAGGGACCGAGGTGAGGCTGACCAGTCTGTAATTCCCCAGATACTTCTTTGCTTTCTTAAAGATGGGCACTATGTTGGTCTTTTTCCAATTGTCCCACTTAGCCTCAGTGTTCAAAGTCAGCAACTCAGTCTCATCGGCCAACTCCCACAGCACTCTTGGGTGCATCGCATCCAGCCCCATGAACTTCTCTCTGTCCAGATTTTCTAAATATTCCATAACCTGTTCTTTTACCACTGTCAGCTGCTCGCCTCCTTCCCAAATTGTGCTGCTATGTGCAGCAATCTGGGAGCTGACTTTGCCTGTGAATACTAAAGTAGAAAAAGGCAGAGTACTTCACTAAGAGACCCACACTTCCCCTAATCTTCCTCTTGTTGCTAACATAGCAAACTTCTACATAGCTGAGGGGCTCTGTTGCCCCCCCCCACCTGTTGCACATGATATTGTGGCCCGACCCTCTCTAGGGTAGAGACAGACCAGACAGCCTTGCGCCTCATCTGAATATACATTTTTGGAGGGTCCCAGGACTTGCAACAAGAAAAAACAGTTCCAATCACTACTGGGGGCTAATTAGCTCCCACAAAGGATCCACACGTACTGAGCAGTGCTAAGTTATGGGATCACTGTTGTTTCAAACACTTATATCTGCTGGGGCCCAGCCCAACGAACTATACAAGTCATGAGCTTTTTGGCTCTGAACTATCACTATGCAATTTGTATAAGTAGGTACAAGTGGTGTTCAGAGTGTGTTCATGAAGTACCTGAACTGAAATTTGCAGCAGTCAAAGCTGGGACCACAGTTAGACTCACAGAAATCTCCTTTTCCCCTCTGCACTTTCTGCCCTCTTCTCCCCCCCCTATTTACAGTCACATGTAGCTCACTTTCACACTGGCTTTGGGGACAGAGCAGAGCCTGAGCAGAGTCTGACGGTAAACCGGAGCAGTAAGACTGCAAGGGAAAGAAGGTGGGATGGGTGGGCAGAGGGCAAGTGGGGCACCCCTCAGCCCCTATTTCCCCATGTGCAGCAGGGGAAGGGGATGAATTCAAGACAATCCTCTAATGATTAATTCTACACCTGGAAAATTTATAAATTTGTTGTAATTCTCCATGTATAGAATCTTATTTCTAGGGGGAGGGAGGTGTCTTATATTCAGGGTTATTGTATATTAAAGTAAATACGGTACTTTGCTTTCTTACTTCACTGTTACAAAGCAGCTTTATAATATTCCTTATAATGCTGTGCTGTTTGGAGCAATAATCTGGCAATATTTCAGTACAGAAATGCCTTTTAAGCATCTGTCAGCAAATACAAATGTTCTTTTAAACATCCCATGCCGGCTATTTGTGTTACAATTGTACCGATGGTCCCACTGTGCCAGGCCTTGTATAAACAGGTAACAAAGTCAGCCCCAGCCCTGACATGCATGCAATTTAATGTAAAATGAGAGGTAAAAGGTAGATGCAATGGAGAGAGGAGCATGAAGTATCATTAAAAACATCAGTTCATGTGAGAAGTGGCAATCAAAGCAAACCAGCTGTTTAACCAGTCAAGTGTTTTTACAGTCATCCCAACAGAGATATTAAATGAGAATGAGGTGGCTTTCCTTAACCAAACTATATCAGTAAACTCTATTTATAATCTATGGAGGTGGAAGAGAAAAAGAAAATTCCTGTCTCTCAAGATATTTAACAGTAAGTTACTCTCATATACGCCATAACTGGCCAAACAAAACAAGGTTTTACACCAGGAGTGGCCAATTATTTGGGCCAGTGGCCACATAGGCAGTTTTGAGGTGCTGTCACAGCCCAGTCAGCGCCCCCAGTCTCCTTCCCACAACAGCCTGGACCCCATATGCCCCATGGCTCCTCCCCACTACCAGTGCCCAGCAGCAGTTGAATACACAGCCCTGGCCCCAGTCTATCCTGGACTCACCCCAGCAAGAGTGGACCAGCTGGGACCCACGCACAGAGCCCTGACCCACCCTGGACCACCCCACCCACAGTGAGCACCAGTAGCAATGGCCAGGCAGAAGCTGTTGCCAGGTGTGAGGGAAAAGCAGCCACATCCCCCTTGCCACTGCTGGGCTCTTATTGCTGTCGCCACCTGAAGCCCACACCCAGGCTGCCCTGTGGCTCCTCTCCACTGCTGCTCTGCTCTGCAGCCCAGAGGCAGTGCTGGTAGCAGTGGTGACAGCAAAGAGCTGCAGGGCAGCCCAGGCATGGGCTCTGGGCAACTGCAGCAAAAAGGTCCCAGCAGTAGTGAAGTCAAGGTGGCTGCTTTCCCCCCCACACCCAACAGCAGCTTTTGCCCGGCCACCGCTGCTGCTCATCATGGGGGCGATGTCTGGAGCAGCCTGGGGCCAGCCCTTTGTGCACAGGCCCCAGCTGGTCCACTCTGGGGCAAAACAAGCTGAGGCCAGGGCTGTGCGTGCAGGTCCCCACCCATCTTCAAGAGGTTGGGGCTGGCAGTGGCAGCAGCTGGAAGGAGCCACCATCACCTGGGCTGTCTAGAAATAGAGTCCAGCTGCACAGCTGCCTGAGCCCCACTGTGCGCCCAGGGGCTGCAGGATGCACCATGGGCCAGATGGTACCTGGAGCAGGCAGGACCGAGGGACCCGCCCCAGGCTAGATCCAGCCCACGGGCCATATTTTGCCCACCCCTGTTCTACACTGAACTTGATGGCAGTTCTCCAAAACAAAAGATGTTCTGAGCTACCATCTTGTAATATACTGTGTGCACTTTTGTGTGTTTGAGGTAGAGGGCATCAGTGGTTTTCATGGTCTCCATACCCCAAAGCCCCATGTGGGAGACTGCATACCCCCACTCTAAGGAATCAGTGACCAGCAGTTGCTTGCTCCCACCGACTCCAGTGACAATTCTGATAATCTGACTTCTTCCTGTCCTTAGAACATTACAGTATTTATCATTCTGTGAAGGCAAAAATAACAGGAAAAAGATTTTTTCAGTCTTCCCAGCAAACGTATGCACTCAACCTGGTAGAATGCTCCCTGGTGCATGAGTCACTCTTCCTTACTAAAGCTCATTTGATACACGAGACACCCCAAGCACTTTAATTAAAGCAACCCCCTGCCACAGCATGTGTATAAATGCCCTTAGAAAGCAGCATCTTTACTGTTAATCTTAGAAATGTAAAGCCTAACAGTAACTCCATTTAAATGTTTAATTTTTTTGTTTTAAATCAACCGGTGAATTCCATCCTTAGACTTTTTCCACAAAATAGTGTAAATGAAATACTTAAAGAATTATGAAACTAATTCCATGAATGTCATAAAAGATACGCATGAGTCCTACCACTTTATGATGATTTTTCAAATCAGAATCTTAGCTTTAAGTGTTCAAAATGATACCAGAATAGATCAAAGGATGAATACTGGCTTTAAAATATAAAGAGATTGTTGCTTACTGAATACACTATTCTAAAAACCTGCATAAAATCTTATCAGTGTAGCAGCTCCTGCTAGTGCAGCACTGATATTCCAATCAGTTCCGCAATCTAATGTCGATACACCTAGAAATTACATAACCACGCAGTTATGACACAGCTATATGAATTCACTGCATTAGCAGTGATAAGCCTGCTTTTATATGCCACTGATTCCACCAATTAAGCTCTATACAGTCCTATTCAACCCTGCCTGAGTTCCTGAAAAAAGCATTAAAACACATCTATTTTGTAATGTGCCTCAGATTCATCCATGAAGAGCCCACCTTTTGCATCAGTGGTTTTCTAGGGACTCAGCACAGTGGAATAAGCTTGCATTCTGATACTTAGCAGGTGGAACAGGATATGTCCTATAGTACCTAACTTGGGCCAAGTGCTACTTGCTGTTTTCCAGGGGAATACTAAAGCAGCATTCTGACATACACTTTTCTTTCTCTGTAGTACCTGTTTGTACAGGTTTAAACAATTCCTCTTTTAAACAGAGTTTGGAAAAGTCAAAGTGTAACCACCTTTGACAGAACTGTTTCTTACTTATTTTCAATGTCTACATAGTTTTACAATAACAAGGTTTTACCAACAGAAAGCCATCACAGCTGCAGGAGGGTCTGTAGAATTATATTCTGGCATATGCATCCTCAGCAGATTTGTTAACTAAAATTGGAAATGCAAGTGGTCATGAATTATATTTGTGAAATCCCATTAGAGTTTCTGGGGTTGTAGGCAAGCATGTAATGCAAGGTGGAATTTGAAGACAAGAAGTGATCACGCTGATGTCACTGGGAAATAAAACAAAAACATGTGAAAACTATTAAAGCAGATATGATAATATATTACCCAGCCTGCCTTTCAGATTGCAGGGAGAAGTTACCACACCATTAATGAAGGGGGGAAATGGGGGGCCCCCCGCATTACATTCCTCATTTTAATAATAAACTAAGAAACAAACATGCAAATTGACAAATCTCTCCCCCCATCAAAATAAAATAATCTGCGGACACTTTTTCTTCAGAAATTCGTTTTCCAAGAGGAACAGGTAAGAGCCTCATTGCTTTACTGTTTTCCCCCCACCCAAGCTAAACTAAAAAAAAAATTAAAAAAAAAATGATAACAATCAGTGGTACATAAAGATTAGGTAATGCTTTTCAATCCCTATGGAAGAAGGATTGTGATAAAAATACCCTATTATGTTTTACTCTGCCTAAAATTTCATTTATAAATTCACCAGAAAAATATGAAATATGAGAGGTCACTCAGAAATCGCACTATAGGTATGTTTACTTGTTGTATAATCAACTTATTAAATAATTAATACCTTCCCTGAAAATGACAAATTATCAATGTCTTAGTCTAATAAACCTCTCACTGGCAAGAGAAAGATAGCGCCAAGTGATCCAAGTGCTGTTTGTACCTCTGTTACCAATTTACAGTAACTACTGGCACATTATTGTATCTGCGCTTTGGTTTCCCCATCAAAATAGGGGATGATAAATACTTTCTTACCTCATACAAGTGAGGAGATTTACAGGAACAATTTAAGCCGATTAGATAGGCATGTCTCCACTGAAGACAAATGTTAAGCATCATGGCAAAAATCTTCTGAACATTTGTAAAGTGCATGGTGTCAGCATGTATTGAAAGAAAAATCTAAGGCTAAAACTGAACCTTTGAAAGAGATACAGAAAGTGACAGAACATCTTGCACTGAGGTTATGTATTTAACAGTTTTACATGTAATATTTATATATAAAAACTTTAAGTGCTTTTCTCCACTTTAAAAATCTAAAGAATTCAAAAATAAGGCATTCAATATTTGAAAAAGTACAGATTTACAAAATGCGTATATTCTGTCATGAAAACTGCACACCAACATTATACACTTGGAAAAAAATACAAACAGGATATATTACAAATTTATGTAGCAATAACTTAGTTCATACCATGCAATAAAAAGTATGTTAATCAAGATACACAAGCTTTTAAAGTTTCTAAACTGGAGGGCTTAATTTTTTGCAAACAATTTGTATGCAAATTCTTAGAACTTGTGGCACTTAATTTCTGGTAGCCTTTCTATTCAGAGTTAAATTGTACACAATGATTATGAGGATGAAGATTAACAAAGTAGCCATCTATTAGGAATCATTCCAGCTTTGTTCAACAATAGCCGAAACTCTTTTTTCATATTCGCGTTTGTTTTCCTGATAAAGTTGTGCTGCCTGACTGTTTGCAGGACTGTTTGGATTAGGTTCATCAAGCAGAGACTGAGAGTTGGGGGAAAAAAGGAAATAAAAACAAAATCAGATATTTGGACCAATGTCATAGAAAATATCATTATGAAAAAACAAAACTAGCCACTAGGGGGAAAACAGGATAGTTTCTACTGTAACAAATTCAAGCGTAATTTTATTCAATCCAATTAGCTGGACTGCAATAATATTGGCTGAGAATTTCATAAACCTAGGCTTTGAAATACAATAGCTAAAAACTTTCACATGCAAGTTCTATTACAAACATTTACATTCAATATCACATTTGAAATAGTTGTCAATAAAGGAATCCAAATCTGTAACTATCTTCCTACATACATTCCCTACAACAATTATTTTTGTTACTTAGAAATATAACAACAAGGCTATACTTAGTTCAGAAACTAAGTCTTTAAAAGGAGCTAAAAAGCTTCCAATTACTTTTCAACAATTTGGACTACAGTACATTGGCATGGAATATTGCTAACTATGTCACTAAAGCCACTGTTTTGTGGCAGAAAGTCATCATACTTCACTTGCAATAAAAAGGTTAAAAAAAAAAAAATCACCTGAATTGAAGTTAAAATAGATGAAACATCGTATGTTGGACTCCAGCGATTCTGAAGAATATCTAAACATATGCTACCATCCGCATAAACTGTAATCAGAGCATAGGAATTGTTTAAAAATCCTGCCATCTTTATTTATAGCTAGTTGTGCTGAAATACTGCATGAATTAATACACTTTTAGAGTATGGCAATTCAGTTCATGCTTAATTTAGCACTTTAGGAAACATAATAAAGAGAGAGAATATTTTTTTATGAGGACAATTTCTATAAGAGGCTCTAACACCAGTTTTACATGGGGAGATGCAGAATTGAAGGCAAAAAAAGCACTTAAAATATGATCCTTGGTTAGAATGCTAGCCTGAGACTGGGGAGACCTGGATTCAATTATCTGATTCATTTGCATGGTCCTAGGAAGCCCTGTACATCAAGATCCAGGGGACAAAGACCTGGGTACCTAGAACTGTCCAAGTCTAAAAGCGCAAACCAAAAAACCATGTTCAGTGGCCTGAAAATTCTCCACGTGCTCTCAGTTCTGCTTTGCACCTGTTCAGAACTGTCTTGGTCTGAACAGACAGGAACCCAAATCCCAGGCTAAGCCCCTTGGCCTGATCAACCCAGCGGGTGTGATCCAAGTATGCCTCACAAAACCCAATACCATGGAGTTAAGAACAAAACACTGCATTCAGGACACTTATTTTACAGCACGACCAGGTTGTGGAGGAGCCTCTCTCACATGCTAGCATGGGGGTTAAAGCCACAAAGTGATCCTGCTTCTAGGCCCTCCTCAGTTTGAGTGGATCCAAACCCCCATCACTCACATCCCAGGAGAATGCCCTAACCAGCAGGTTATAAACTAAACTGAGACACTCCACCTGCACATCTTTCTCTTGACCCTGTGCTACTGAGCAGAAGAGAACACAAATTTCAGAGGCCACAACGAAAGCAAGCCCGAGGGAGCAGGATCACACAGTCTTGTGGTTAGAGCCTTCCATGGGGGCAGGTGAGAGTCCTGACATCTCGTCGCAGACTGTTCATACATTTTGCATTACACAGTCAAAGAATCAAAAGCAGATATAATCCTGCCACTAATAAAAAAGGGCCAAACTACCACAGTTTACCTTCTACTTAGTTCAGGATAAGAACCAGCACATGGCCAATTTCCCCAGAGCAGCTGACATACTGCGAGTGCGTGGCCCCTTTCCACGCCATGCAATGTATTCATTTGTCTATCCCCTCAGACTCTGAAGTTCCAGGGAAGGGCAGGAATTCAGAAACACTTCTATGCTTAGCTCTTCCTACTGGCTACTTCCAGGCACTCCCCATGCACCATGTGTTGTTTTCTGGATTGCCCTTCTGCCAAATCTAACTCTCCCTCAGGCACTATATTGGGAGCTTAGGCATTTCTCTCTGTGCTTTGGATTCTGCTTGTGCTGCCTAATTTGTAGACACTCAAGTCCTTCCTTAGATCTGTCAGTGTCTCTATGCCTCAGGTTCTTATTTAAAAAATGTGGATAACAGTACTTCACAGCAATACCTCTGTGGAGAAGGAAGGATAAATTACATTAAAAAGGATGTGAAGCACTCAAAGACAACCCTAACAGGGAGCATATAAAAAGTACCTAAAATGAGAGAGCGAGCGAGAGTGAGAAGGTCTAGCTCTGAGGAGGAAAACAACAAGTGAGCAGCCTGCTTTCCCAGATGTGAGCTTGGGGTGGAAAGCTTCTATTTCTCATGCCCAGTGAGGTGGAACAATCAGCCCTGTGCTACTTCTGCTACATAACTGAATGAAAGTTCATAGGATCCTAGTGATCTTTACTCAGTGCTTGCCTAGTGGGAACAAGCAGCATTTGAGAGCAGCAGGCTGCTTCATAAGAAGTAAAGCAGCAGCTCATCAACCCTCCTCTGTACTCGCATAGCAACAGAGAAACTCATGTCACGTCTTTGGGAACATTGCTGGAGAAGCACTAATAACCCAATCCTGCTTAGGGAAAAAAAAAAAAAAAAAAAAAAAAAAAAAAACCAATAGCAAAATTCACATTAACTTGAACAGATGCAGAATTAGGCTATACAAGCAAGGATAAAAACTGTGAAAGAAGGAAATGACAGCGGAAGGGGAACCTTAAGTGAAACAGAAATGCACAGTGTTCACAGATCAAATAGTTAGGTATAGGGTATAAATTCAGTCTGAATTCAGCTCCTTATATTGTAGCGGTTGTGCATTTGGTCTTTAGGACACCCTCATTTTAGAGCACAGGTGCTCCACCTCCAGCCCACAGGCCAGATCCAGCCCATAGAGCTGTCATCTTGCCTATGGGTCTTCCCAAGGATCCAAAAGTTTGGCAGCCAGGGAGTGGTAGCAGCATTAACTGCACCTGCTGCCAAATTCCCAGACCCAGATGTGGCCCTGTCTGCTAGACTGCACCAGTTTGTGTTGGGGCTGGCACACGGGGGTCACTCTGCTACTAGATCCAATGCATAGGGTTGGGCCAACACGCTGCGGCAGGCCAGTGCGCACAGCCAGATCCAACGTGAAGGGCTGGGCCAGTGTGCCTATGCTAGAGGAGGTCTGCAGACTAACCATGCACCGTGGGCTCCAGCCCATCGGGATGAAAGGTTGAGCACCAATGTTCTAGAGGGTCTACCATGGAGGTGAGGAGCTGGGCCAGAAAAATAAGTATGGAAATGGAGACTCCTAAGTGATCTCCATAAATAAATACATAGAAATAAGAGAGCTATGAAAGAGATGCAGAAGGAAACAGTTAATTGTAGCAAAAAATTGACAGCAAAGAGAGACAAAAATAAAACCTCTAGTGAAGACACGAACTTCCCAAGAAACCTATACTGCTTGTAACAGAACAGGGTATCAGTCTTCATCTTCTCACTCGCTTGCATTTGAGTTAGCTACATACACCGATTACAGGATTCAAGGATAACTTATTCTAGATAGAAATTATGATGCAAGGAAGTCATCTCTTTTTGACTGAGCACTTGATAAACTTAATGTCAAATTTAGGAAAAAGATGTTAAGTGCTGCTGAGTTTCATAGGATGTATGATCACACTATAATACTTAGTATTTGTTATGGCCAAGTAAGCATTAATACTCACCATTTGGATGAAACATTTTTGATAAAAACCTAACAGTTGGAGGCTTATTTGGATATTCTTCTGAAAATTCTATTACTAGTTTAAAGGTCCCTGTCCAAAAAAGCAAACATACAATCATATAACTGTAATCGTAATTTAAAAAAAATAGTAATAAACCTTCAAGAACACATGACAAATTAACTGATGTGCTCTATGATTAAAGCCAATGTCTCTTCTTACCCCTCCAAAAATAAAGTCAGACTCAATGTTTATTTATATTTCAAGCACTAATAAAACAGCAATACTACTATGGATAAAAACATCAGCATCCATGTAAGAATTTAGAAGACCAATGAATATGCAGAAAAGGAACTAGAATCTCACTTCAGTTATCCAATCACCTTAACTTAAATGCAGACCTTTTGCAGGATTTTCAATGCAATTACCAGATACTGGAGAAGTAATACTGTTTCATATAACTGTGTGACCAATTAGTTAAAAAGAAGTGAGCTAAGTTGCATTCTAATTTATGGTATGATTCAGTCACAATTTCCACATGGTTTCTATCTTGCCAATTTTTAGGACTCCATGAATCAGAAGTTATGAGAGCTTTCCCCTCCTGGATAAAAGACTTCCAAAGCAGACAACTTTGTAAGGAGAAACTGCTGAATTTTTGTTTAGAAATTATTCAGCATCTTAAAAACCACCACGACCATCACCGTGCTGTAATTATTCAGTATCTCTCCAGTAGGACTGACCTCCCCCAGGCTTTGGACACTGAAGTATATGGGAATTTTGCTGAGAAAAGACTGTAGTCTGGACTCAGTACAAAAAGCTGAATTTTCACATAACACATGGTTCCAACTTATGACTGATTCATTCCATGTACTTAGTTTGGACCCATGAACAATGCCTGAAATAAGTCTTAAGAAATATGATAATCAATTAAACCCATCCCCAGGTCTACAGGAGTGGGGGGGGGGGGAAAAATCAAGCATGATATTTTCTCACTTCCAGGGAAGCTGAATAGCCCCTGCCCACTCCCTTGCTTATTACCCTTTCATTGCAGATCACTGCAATAATGAGGAATTGTTAATACAGAAGTTTTGATGCCTCCCTTTCTGCATGTCCAGTAGTTATTACACTTACTTGCTTATTTCATCTTTATTTAAAATGTTTCCCACTAAGAATTGATCTGCATAGAAAGAGAAAATCAAGATTCCCACTTGCTCTCAGTGGAAGGAAAGAGAGAAGAATCAAAATCTAACTACTAAGCCAGAGGTGACCAGAAGATCATTAAGTCTCAGCTAGTTGCAGGAGATATGAAAATATCTGATGGTATTGGATAACATCTGATAACATCTCCTGCAGTAGGAGCCAACCTCTTTGGCAGGTGTACTGCCAGTTAAGCCCCACAAGCTCCAGTGCCTCTCTGATGTCCTTCCTCTGCCCAATATGCTGGTCTACTTTCTGCTCCCTGCCCAAATCTCCTGCTCTTTCTGCCCCCTGCCCCTCCCTAATCTGCTGCATGCCCCACACAAAGGCTGCCTGTGCCACTTGTGGCACAAGTACTGCAGATTGGACACCCCTGTGCTACTGAATGTTTTAATTTCTCTATGTATAAGCAGATCTCACTTCAAAACGCTCACAGTTAACTGTGGGTTACTGTGGCAACATGAGTGCTCCGATCAAAAGACCATAATCTCTCTAAAACAGCAAGCCCTCTCTTTCACTTACAGTTTTTGCTCGCTTGCTGCATTTTCTGACTCGTAACTAAATTTTGTGGCTATCATAATTAAATAGCCTATGTATAGGTAATGTATGTACCTTTTTTCAAAACAAATACAATGTTCACGTTGTAAACATCTACAGACATCTACAACTGAGGAAGGGGAATAGGAGCAGCAATAAATTAGTTACTTACCATCCTCAAATGGGGTACCTTCCGGCCTAAAAATTGAAAAAAAAAATGTTCCCATTAAAATGAATTTGTCTGCTTATTCATATACCCCAACCTTCCAGGTACAACACAGTCAAAACAGAAAAAAGCCATACAAGTACAATCCTATACAATGCACAGGTTCAGATTAAAATTAATGGGCAAATCCAGATTCACTAGCAAAATACCTGAATTTATGACAAGACAGAGAATTGGTTCTGACTCTGTGGGATAGCTAATGTAACTAGATAAAAGTTGCATCCAGAGAATTAGATTGGGGAAAAAAATTGGCTTAGTCCCTACTAACACATCTAGATTTCCTGGTTAAGTGGAACAGAATTATTACATGTTTCTTTGGGAGAATCCTGCCTTTTCTAGAACTCCTACTATACCCTTCATAAGTTCAACAGTATTCACTATTCATGGGCACAAAATTTGACTACCTAAAAAAACCAAAAAGATTACTTTGAAAACTACAACAGGAGAAAAACTTATTTAACTGTGCCTCTCTGAAAGGGGAATGAATACATACAAAACAGCATACATGCTAGTTTTCCCCTCAGTTTTTGTAACTTATTTTTACTTAATCTATGAACACATAGGTGTCTCAAAAATTTTCAAAGAATCATTTATTATCTTTTAAAACCTGTATTTAGCCCTTAAGCATTATAGTTTGTACAATGAGTAGGAAGAAAAGCACAGACCCAAATATAACTGCATTCCACTGCATTATGTTATTCTCAGATGGTGCACCACTGACACCCACAGGAGGGTCTTCTTGCAATCTAAGAATTAAAAAAAATAGTTGTAAGATACATGTTAAAGTCACACACACGCAATCTGGTAATAGTTAGAAAGGCACACGCGTGTGTGCATATGTCTAGAGTTTGCACTGATCTGAATTCTCTAATCGTAAAAGGACATGGATGAAAAGTTTAAGGTTATATGTACATTAAATGTCCCAAAGACAGAAGCAGATTTTCTGTTCAAATATTTTGTTACAATAAGATAGACCAACAGAAAAAAAGAGAAGCAAAGCATGAGTTTCTGCATGTGTTTCTCCATCAAATAAGAGCAGTTATGAAACACCTTGTACATCAGGGTTTTACATTCTGTACGTCAAATGATGAAATAATGAACATTCAGAACAACTCCTGCTGGCTGCAGCAGTGAAAACAAAATGATTTATAACCACAAATTGACACACTGAAACTGCAACTATTGCGGAAACCAACCAATACTATCTATAGCATGCACACACTGGAAGCTACAAGAATGCAGACAAGATGGAGCATGGGGTCCAGCTAAATTCTGTACATTCAAAATCAAAACAATTTTGGCCAGCAGTCTGATTGCTCTAAGAGGTAAACAGAAACACTGCCGTACTGTTTTCTTCATCCCTTCTTAGCGTGAAAACACTTGTGCTTTACAGGAGTCATGGAAGCATCTTAACTTATTTAGAGAGAGAGAGACACTAGTTCTGGATTAGTAAGAATACATCAGTTTCCCAGTGGAAAACATTGTCTCTAAACTCCCACTTCATGTACAATACTTCTTTGGTACCAAGACCTTTGCCCTAGGACTGAATAAATCCCTGGATTAATACAGATGTTATACTACCCTGTTGCTAAAAGAGATCATGTTTTAGAATGACATATTAGCATAGATGCTGACCATCAAGCACCAATATTGCCTTATTAAGGCAAACTAGCAGCAGGGAGTTCTCTGCCTAAGATTCACAGCGTCCTTCCCAACCCGTGTTTAAGCATCCTTGTTTTGTGACCTTTCAAAATTCACACAGTTCAATATCAACAGATCAGATACCTACCACTTTGGGGAACAGTTTCTTCCTACCAGAAAACCAGATTGCCTGCCAGTATCAAAGCCTAAGCAGCAAACTTAAGTGCTGTTCTGAGATAACTTTGGTTCTTAAATCAGGACAAAGCTCCCCCCATACTACACTGTGGGAACATCTTTAACTACAGAGAATTTATGGCCTGAACTGGAAGCTTAACTTGTCTGAACAGAGCCTAGAGATATTTAAGAGTTAGTGATAATGTGGTATTTATAGCATCCTTTTCTAAGAGCTGTAATTAGTATTTCTCTAATTTTATTCAAAGGACTAAAGAATGGTCAGCCTTCCAATAATCTGTCAAGTTCTTCTCTCGTCACCACCCCAGAACCACAATAAACACAGCAGAGTTCACAGCAAAACATGCAACCTGAACGCTGTTACTTTTAGATTGAAGTAATTGTTAGTAACAAACAAAACGCATTTCCTTTCCCCCTAATGTTAAGGGACTGACATTTTAAAAGAAACATGAGCTCAGCCTGGAGGTACAAGATGGTTAGGTTAGATAAATGCACACTCATTCCATGCTTCAGTGCATCTATTTTGAGGATTTATTTACTTACTTATCCCCCCAACCTCATTTCCATCTCCAATGTTAACAACAGAATCAGTGCCTCCAAAAGCAATCCTTATCCATTAGTGCCATAAGTAGTCGGGTTTTTTTACATTCATTGTGACCCACCATAAGAAACAGGATTTAGATGTCCTTTTTTGCTTTAAAAGGAACTACACAATGTTATGTTTGCATTATACAATACCCAGGTAGACTGTGGACAGGTAAATAACTTCTAAACCTCAACTCAATTCCTACTTTGTAGTTGCATATCAAACTTTTAACATTACTGTATATTAAGCTATGGATACATATATAGCCTGTGTCAACTGTTTACTTACACATTTGCAGATACTGCAATAAAATACAGCGATCACTAATGAAGTGGCACTATGGAAACAAAGTCATATCCAGTGATTTAGGCCAACTCCTTTTAAACAGAACGAAACTTTTGCCTCCAACAATTTAGGCCAACTCCTTTTAAAGGCAACAGGAGTTTTGCCCGAGTAAGGGACACACCTTGCTGGGGTTATTGGACCCCAGTTGTCTTTCCTGTCTAGAGCATGGGGCTGGACCCGAAGCTCTCAGGAGGTCCCTTCCAGCCCTCAACTTCTGTAAATCTGCGTGAATATCTCAATGCCTTCAACTCACATAAAGCTGACACAAAGCACACAATGTGGACGGCATAACAAAGACCTTCCCACACCATACCTATATATTTACATCAAGTAGGATAATTCAAGGCATTCCCATTAAAAAAAAGAGATTATAAAAGACCCCCACGCTCACTGCAACACAAAAATAAGGTGCTCCGTGACGGCAAGCCACCTGCATACAAAACACGCTGTGTCGTGTCCAAAGTTTCCAAGTCCAGAAGCACGGTAGTTGCCTCCATTACTACTTTTACATTTACAATCGCTGCCGCGTACCTTGACCGTGCGCAGGACAGTTTGGACAGGCACGACCCTGTGGGAGCTGGACTGGACCCAACCTCTCCCAGCCTGACTCCTCCGGGAGAAGCGAGTCCTAGAGAAGTCCAGTTGGGAGGGACCACTTAAAAGGCGTCTGTGTGTTTATGTGGCTAGGTATCTAGATGGTAGCCGTGTTGGTCTGGAGGAAAAGGCAATCAAGGACTCGTAGAGACAGAATATGTTTTATTAAACCGAGATTTTTGCAAAAAAAAAAAAAAATTAATTAAAAAACGTGATCGCTGGATCCCTGGGGCTGGTCTCAATGATCTCACGAGGTCCTGTGCAGCCCCCAATGTCTATGAACAACTTCCCTTCTCAACCTGTGGGTCAAGCCCCAAATAGGGAGGTGCGAGGCTATCAGGAAGGGTGGCAAACCAACTTGAAAAAGGGGAGAAACGTGGGCATCTGCCTCGCAGCAGCCCCACAGCCCGGGGGCAGGAGCAAGGGGCGCTGGGTGTTGTCTTAAAAGGCTGGATCCTGCCCAACCCCCACCCGAAGCATCAGCATCCCCATCCCCATCCCCATCCCCGTGCCCGTGCCAAGCGGCCCGCACAGCCCGGGGGCCTGGGGCCGGCCCGGCCCAGACCCCACGGGGGAAGCAGGGCCCGGCGCCCCCTGCAGCAGCCCCAGGGCCGAAGCCCGACGCGGGCGCCCACCTCTTGAAGTCCCTCATGAGGCGCCGCCTGGCCGGGGTGGACATGTTCCTCCGCCCGCCGCCGGCCCCGTCCCGCGAGCTCCGCCGCGACCTGCCGCCGCCGCGCAAACAAGCCCGCAATGGCGTCTCCCTCCGCGCGGGGGGCGGGGCGGAATGTACCACTACCGCGGAAGCCGGGGGGTGGTGGTGGCGGAATGTACCACTGCCGCCGCGGGCAGCGGGCGGGGGAGGTTCTGGGAGCGCGCTCGGGATGCACCATTGGACCTGGCCGCGGAGGGGAGAAGAGGGGAGCACCCCCGTGTGTGTCGCTTGGGCTGCGCCGTGTTTGGTTCCTTCCTCCCAGCCGGCTGCCTCGGGGTGTGCGCACGCGCCGTGCAAACCCGGCCGTGGTGAAAACCGGCAGAAAGCTCCAGGGTCGCAGCCGCGAGGTGAATGAGCTTGTGTTTGCACTAGGTTATGAGTGGGAGACTGCACACCCTTTCCATCTTTACTGCCAACTGTAACGAGCCTTTTTCAGGTCTTTTTTTTTTTTTTTTTAACTAAGACCTGAAAAATCTCACGCATCCAGGCTCAGGGTTTTAGACACCCCTTCACCTCAAGATCCAAAGTTGCAGAAGTTGGCAGCTCCCCGCCTGATTGCTTCCCCACCCCCTCATCCTTGCAGAGATGCATCAGGCCCTTCATTTTTAACTCCTGAAGCATGTTCGAGGGGGGTGCAATAAGGGCTGGTGGGGGTTTCCCGGTGAGCAGCACTAAGCTAATGCTAGGCTGAGCCTGGTAGAAACCTGTAAGTGATTCTGCTCTGATACATCTAACATGACAGAGAAGTCCCTCTGCACCAGTTTCTGTTGTTTCAGGAAGCAGCTTAGTGAAGTCAGTGGAGATCTGCTCCATATTGTTAAGTATTATGTAGGGGTTTTGCTCTTTTTTTTTTTTTTTTTTTT